TTTCCTTAACAGGGTAATTTTAAACGAGTATTTCCACCCGATGATCGAGCAAGAAACGAAAAGTATAATGGTCTGCTGGCGGACGCWTTCAAACTTTTCCTTTCAGGTAGGCCAGCCATACAATATAAATAAGTAATCTTTGCGCTTCCATGTAGTCTATTGAACAATTAGAAAACGCGCGTCGTGGTTTGCTTTGCGACACTTCTCGAGTGTTCTGCCAATCTCCAAGTGCTTTATATTTCCACATAGCACAACAGGCAAGTTTTTTATTTCTTTTATAAAAAACAAATTACAATAACCGTTATTTTGGATACGAATGACGCGACTGAAAGTGTGCGCGCGTGCTGTGTACTTTTATAAAGCACGCGCTCCCAACCAATCAGAACTCGAGATTTATAACAATTATTTTATATTATTTTTTAAATCTTTTAATGTCTTTCGTCAGGTCGAGCTTCGACTCTACAAAGAGATAACAACCAGCCGTTCAGTACATTAAGGGTATGTTCATTAAGCGAAGTCCATTTATTCCTTGTTAGAGCAGCGATAAACATGACTGTCACGTCATGCTGCGTTCGGTTCTCGACCAATCAGAGCGYGCGTAYTATCTWAGCTATATAAAAATACTAAAAATCATCCTGCGCACTGATTGGTTCAGCGCGTGTCGTACAATTCCGTACCGTGGCTGTGCCTTGTTTTTATCATCATGCTCATGTGAAGCTTTCTAGATTTTCTGATTTGCTCGATAACTAGTCATAATTTGCGGGCTGTCTGCCGGTTCAACGGTAACCTTGGGGACGATTCCAGTCACCCTCTCCTCCCTCTYCTCCATACTTTTCGTCTGGCGCCAGAGTCTTATCAAAAGTGCCGTACTGATAAGTGTTGACTAATTTCTGCATTTCCTACAGGAAGAAGAAATTCTTGATTTGTTAGAGCAGTGTGAAGCAGATGAAACTCTCTCTCAGTTCGACAAGACTGGTTATCGACCATACAGCAAAGGACCTAAGGTATGTWGCTCGTCACATGACTCTAATCACGTGATCTAGCGATAAAAACCGTGAGATTCTGGGAAATGATTTTGTTTTGGCGGGAAATGATATTGTTAACTGCTTCAGTCGTCTCTGACCTTATCAACAATAGGATAGAAAACACTATTAATGTGAGGAAAAATGATCTAGAAAGATTAAACAATTTGCRAGGGCGATTTTTTTGCGTAACAAATTTTTCCCGCGTAAAATAGCGCACGGTTACGATTTTAAACGATACTTTGTTGCGGCAACATTATGTTGCAGGTTTATAAATGATATACCTTAGACGATTTGTGTTGACGCGCGCGCATACTGTTRCGCTAAAAATCATTTGGTGTAACATCACCTTAAACAACACTAAAACTCAGTAATATTTTCTTTTATTATTGCAGCCCCTTTCATCGATGCCTAGTGCAAAATCTCCGAGTTCAAAAGAAGACATGTGCTCGAACCCGACTTTGATTTCTCAGAGACAGTCTTCTTTTGAGACATCATCAGCGCATCGGTCAACAGACCTGAGCTCATCGTTCTCTCTACCTAGATCGACGTCACAACGAATAGTRACATCAACATCGTCTCCACCGATGAAATTTAACCCTGTCGTGGTAAGTGACCTCAATAATTTCATAACTATTTGGTGTAGACTCTTTTTCCTTGAGCGCAATGTTTTTCTCCCCGTTTCGTTTCCACTTGGGGATTGTAAAATATGCGTCAGGCCTAAAAGTAGTGTTTACAAGAAATATGTCAAGTCTTCCAACATACATAGTAAATSTAGCGTAATACGACTTTTGTTGCATAGCTGGATATATGTGGGGCACCCGGTGACGGATTTATGGGAGGTCACAGGGTTCCCGCACCTCCTTTTCTACTGAGCTTGGAATAGACCCAATTCGTTGCGTTGCAAGGAGTGTCATTTCTTTGTTTAACRGTTGCATTCGGTTCCACATGAGAAGGCACATGATACAAAGCAAACAAAAAATCTTATTTTCTTGGGAATTCTCCTGGTCTGAAATGGAAAAACATCGTAGCGCAACGAGTTAGGSCTATTAGTTGGCTACTTTAAACATTAAAGATCGTAAATTGCTAAAATTCTAGATCCATCCATGTCACCTTCCTTTCTTCCTTTTCTCATGTGAAGTTCTTTGCTTTTCCCATGAAAGTGAATCCCCAATGTATTCACAAAGCCTTGGGGTCTGAGAATTGTGAGTCTGGAACCCAAAATATAGAATCCAGGATGTTAAATCCAATTCCCTTTTCTTTACAGGATGCCGCGTATCTTAATGCCGCTGTGCGCGAACGTGAAGACGAGCTGTGTCGAAGAACATTACAAGCATTCGCTGACATGCGCATTAAGTTCCCTGGAAAGACAGACGAAGAAGCAGAAATGATCTTAGAAAACGTATGTTGTAGCACTATAACTATAGGAAAGACTTTTGTTACCAAAGCAAAAATAGTATAATTTGTTACCATAGCAACGAAAGCAAAATCTATTGTCATAGCAACGAAAATATAGCTTGTTATTTCCATAACGACAAATATACCATGGAAACCATGGAAACATGTGTTAACTGTAACCTTRACTAATAATTGTTTCACGTTTTCAGATTCAAGAAAACTGGAAATTCCACAAACCTCGAGTGGCTTCTTATTGGCTGGTCAAACTTGATTCCATAAAAAGACGAAAGGTAACACACAGGAAGCCCAGTATGTGAGTTGCGTATTGTTAACGTATTAAGTTCCGTGTTGTAATTTTGCATTGATATATTGTTGTTGCAGGTCATMGATATTGTGAAGACCAATACTCGTGCAATACTCCAGCGCATCTGGAGGTCCTCAGACGTCGATAATCTCCGCCTGTGTCGTATCTTCTCACGTGTGTTTAACAGGCTTTTGTGGAGTCATGGACAAGGGCTGTGGAACTGTTTCTCCAGTATAGGGTAAGAAGTTATTATTATTTGTTACAAGTTGTTATAATAATAAGATATCTAGAGTATATATTTCACCATTTTCCATACATTGGTTCACTGGTCAAACACGAAGCGCTCAAGCGAGGCGCCAAGGTACTTTCAAAGGATTATTCAAATTTGAACCTTGCAACCTCGACTGAATGTTTTGTGTTTGACCAGTGAACCGATGTATGGAAAATGGTGAATAGATGTTTTGTGATTTTTTAGGAATTCTTGGGAAACGATTTTCAGCAAGAGTACGGAAGTGCTTTCACCGGTAAGAAATAATTCTACCATCTATACCTTAAGCCACCCTCCACCACTACCACGCCCTAACCCCTTTCACCATCTCTATTATCACTACCTCTGGCTCCCCTACCAATACCCACACCACCCCAATCATCATCAACCACCGCTGCTACGACTACGATTAGGACCACTACCACTATCTCCAGTACCACTGCCCGCACCCCTAACATCCTGCACTATTACCATACTACCATCACCACCAACAACAGCAACAACAACACGGCTGCTACGACTACGACTACGATTAGGACCACTACCACTACCTTCAGCACCACTGCCCGCACCCCTAACATYCTCCACTAATACCATACTACCATCACCAACGACAAGAGTAATAACAACACGATAACGACAACAGTCATACTGATAGAGTGCATAACATCATCTCCTTGAAAAACTTTGTAAGAGATTCCACAAATTTGTACAAATTAGTAAGTTCAGTAGACCTCAGTAGACCGTAGACCTACAAAACTTTACACTAATTTGTACAATTTTGTTAGTTAACTTTTTCACTGATATATGGTATGCACTCTAAGATTTCTATTAAGTCTAAGTTCAGTAGACCTCAGTAGACCGTAGACCTACAAAACTTTACACTAATTTGTACAATTTTGTTAGTTAACTTTTTCATGGATATATGGTATGCACTCTAAGATTTCTATTAAGTCTAAGTTCAGTAGACCTCAGTAGACCGTAGACCTACAAAACTTTGCACTAATTTGTACAATTTTGTTAGTTAACTTTTTCACGGATTTATGATATTCACTCTACATGATATATTTCTACTCCCTTAATTTATTATAGATAAAGCGATCGTTTACCACTCTTATGCTCCTTTAGCATTTGTTATATGAAAACAATGATGGTTTTTTAGCATTTGTCATTGTAAATCAACGAGAATATCTCCCAGTAATATGTGGTTTGTTTTCCTTTAGACTGAAATGAGTTGTTGTCGTCGCATTGTCGAGCTTTGTCGTGACTGTCTTCTGATCGTCTATCAGTTTGCTTCTGATGCGAAAGCTGCTGGTGCAGTCACGAATGGCGTTACACAGAACGAGACAACAACAAGGTAACGCAATATTCGTTAACCCAAGGACAATTTTTTTCAATTTATTCTCGACCCTTACTGGAAAAGCATGATGGGACATAATGGGGTTAAAAAGTATTGTGGGTATTAATGGCAACGTTACATACATACTTTATACATACTTTATACATACTTTATTTGTAACAAGGTTAAGGTATGGCAGCTTTCGCTGATGTTGACCTCCTATCTACTACAATACAATCTAAAATATGATTAAAAGTTGTTGAGACCATGTCAAGTGTTGTTTTGTAGGTTGGTTTCAAAATTGTTTCATAATAATAAATAATAATAAATGTTAAACAATAAACGTTTTGGGCGCTAATGCCCGAAAGCTCCTAATAAATTGTTTTTGGTTGAAGAAACATTAATTTTACAGTAGTTGAGGCGTTTGAACACAAATACTGTCACTGATATTCAACTGTCAACAATAATCAAGGCCCAACAATGTTAGATAATTGCTGTGGGTTCGTACATAGGCCTAAGGGATTTTATTACAAATTTGAAGGATCATAAACATTTACTATGTTTTCTGTCTTGTTGTAGGGAACCACTTCGAAGGGTACCAGATCTGACATCACAGCAGACCCTGTCAGCTAGAATGGCCCGTCTATCTAAGACATCTCAGGTTCAACCTTTAAGATAAGAAAGCAGCTAAAAATACTTGAGAGAACTTTATTTAACGCCATAGTAGACCCTGTAAACAGGAATGGCCCTTCTATTTAAGAACCCCCAAGGTCCACTCCGATTTTTTAACGGAAGGACCTAAGTACGCTTCAGGGGGCTTTATWTGACATCACAGCRCACCCTTTTAGTRTGAATGGCCCTTCTATCTAAGAACCCTAAGRTCCACKCCGATTTTTTAACGGAAGGACCTAAGTAYGCTTCAGGGGGCTTTATWTGACATCACAGCRCACCCTTTTAGTRTGAATGGCCCTTCTATCTAAGAACCCTAAGRTCCACKCCGATTTTTTAACGGAAGGACCTAAGTAYGCTTCAGGGGGCTTTATWTGACATCACAGCACACCCTTTTAGTATGAATGGCCCTTTTATCTAAGAACCCTAAGGTCCATTCTTAGTTATTATAAGGAAGTACCTAAGTTTGCTTGAGGGGACTTTATTTGTCACATCCCATCAGGCCCTAAGAACTAAGAACCTCAAGGTCCATTCTTGGTTTTAAGGAAGGACCTTAATATGGTTAAATAGTTGAGAGAWCTTTATTTGACATCACTAGGGAGCCCGTTGTTCAGAAACAATCYTTGGTGATTGGCTCGATCTTCCAAAGGTTACAACCCACGATATCAAAACCCTTTGAGTGAAGTTTGCTTCATCGAAAAAACCATTTAGGAGATATAAACAAATTATTTATTGTACATAATTGATTCCAGATTATTTTATCGATGCACACGTAACAAATTCAGTATTTAATGAATATTTGTTTACTATAGCAATTGTTTGTAGTCTTTCATTAAAATATTATTATTATCATCATTTTTATCATGTCATGTTACTTTTAGCAATGACATCTGTGACGTAGTTTATTTTCGTAACCAGACCTCCTCGGTTTCGTTTCACTAAGAATTACAGACATGCACGAATATCAGCCAATCAGCATCAAACAAACGTGAATAGCAACCATTGGTTACCAGAATCCCAATCTCTTCGCGTGCGAACAGAACCGAGGAGCTCTGGAAACCATAATGATGAACAGTATCATCATTTGGAATCAGAGTCCTGTTATCCTTACTGCGCATGCTCGACCAAATGACTGAGAGGCCGAGTGCATGCGCAATACAGTAATCAATAGTGCAAGTGTTCTATAGTCTTATTGCAAACTCGTCTAATAAGCTACTCTATATTTGCTTTCCTAATTCTAATTCGATCTTTGGGCTTTCACTTAGTTGGGAGCCTAGCTCTGTTGTGATTGTCCCACGCTGTGATACGACAGCGAAAAGCTTTGTAGATTTTTTTTAGATTTTGTTTTTTYACTACACCGAATCCTAGATTGACAAATCCGCATCATTTGTTCAGGTTTTTATCCCTCGGTTGGAGGATGACATTGATGGCTTCCGATATATTTTTTCTGCAATAAACACGGCGCGTAGAATCAAAGTTATTTGCCCAAATCCACTTGGCATTTTCGGGAATACCGCTGACCTGGTACAATGGCCACGTTGGGCTCGAGTTGTTACCGTAAACCACGRCGTATGGCCACATCGAGTCATTGTAGTGAGATTTAATCCAATCAGCATTATCCACCACGTCTGTGCACCTCCATGAATCATCAGTTATGACGCCGTTGCCAAGCGACGCGATAACACCGGCTTTACCACGATCGTTGTCCATGGCTTCTAAAGCAATGACACGTGTATTCGATGGGATATGATATGTTAAAGATGAATTCATTGGACATTCGATAACCGCTCTGGATAAAGGTTTCTYATCCACGTAGATGCTGATTCTTTGTGTGCACGAGACAGCCATTTTCATACGTTCTGAGAAAAGTTGAAGGGTATTAAATACATTGTATAGTCACATTCTTAGGTCTTTTCGGAGTTCAATAAACATGGTGCATTTTGGTCTAGCTTGGGTACTAACGACACCATGTAGAGCAGTGATGAACAAAAGATATTTGTACTCAAGCTACACCACAATGTGACCCACTGAATTCCAAGCGCAGAACCTTTTCACATCAGTTTTGTCTTCCGTCCTTCAGCAAATTTAAAACGGTCTCAGTTAGTAAAAGTTGGATTAACGGAAACAAAAAAMAAAAAAAAAACAAAAAAAAGAAACGATAAGAAAAAAATATAGATGTCTGACGTTGTCGAGGACGATAAAACATGAAGTGCGCTTTAAGTTGGAGTAACAAATTCTGCGCGGAGATTTACAGAACTYGCAACTAAAGCCTTACAATAGACTTTTCCCAAATTCGCTTGAATGACTGCGACAAGTCAATAAAATAATCAAAATACAGCAAATGTATGAACAAATCAACTCCATTCTCGACTTGGAACCGTAGTTGGTCATTCAAGCGAAAATAGAGTCGTCTTTTCAACCTCTCTTGAAGGCTTATAGTAATCAAAAGTGGAAGAGTTTTCTCATCTTAAAACACAGTCAGTTAAAAGTCCGTACCTTCAGAGGGTAGTTTGTTCAATATCTTCTTCGTTTGGCATATTTTCTCCGACTAAAAAGGCAAAAATATCTCTGGTTAATCTAGGGTAATATATTTTTTCGCCTGTGTGGAAACGTAAAATGCAAGAAGTTTCTCGGACGAGAAACTAATAAGATTTGATTTTCTAATAACGATAACGTACAATTGTAAGCTATAAATGGTAGTTCGAAATGTACCGGTAATGTTTACATAAGATTACTAGATCTCTATAGTTCTTGATAAAACTCTTAAATTGACGACAATGATGATGAAGATGACCGTGAAGATGTTGTGATGATGGTGATAAATTAGTTAAAAAATTCTATTCATTAACCATCTCTCTAATTCATTCATACTACACATTCGTTACATGATCAGAGTTATATTTACCCACTAGACCGTTACCTTTATTCTCCTCAGCTGATGAAAAATATATCCAGATCCTTTGATAAGATTCTGTTCGACTTCACAGTTATTCCCAAAGCCACAGTCATTCAACTCGCAAACCAAACCCCCGGGTTTCGCTAATTTTAAGTTGTACGAAACACATTTGTCGTTGGAAGCACATTCTCTCAAGCAATCATACCATTCACTTACTCGAAGGATTTGAAACGAGTGTCCTACGAGAATACCGCCCTTAAACGTGAACGAGCTATCTACCAACGAAGTGAAAAACCCRGCTGCAAGAATAAGAAGAAAACTAGAGAAGAAGCAATAGTTTTTTTGCCTTTCCATCGTACTTGGATATAAATACAATAGACGAGAAGTTGTTTAAGTCATGAAGCCAGTAAAAGGTGGGTGTTTTTTCATTGATCCAGGTTTATGTACATTAGGATAGTGTAAACGAAGGAGAGCGATAGGACAGCTAGTCAGACAAGAACAGGAAATAAAAAAGAGCAAATAATGACGCAGCAAGAAGCAAGTCCTTGACATGGACTTCAAAGTGAAAACAATACGATGACAGAAACGATGACTAGAAATGAATAAAAAGTGTGCGAAAGGAGTTTGTCTATCTTCTGCTTTAGATTGAAGTAATATTATTGTTGAAGTAGGTTGGAAAATAGCATTAAGTGTTGTTGTAGGGTTCCGTTTTCCATTTTATCGTTTTCAAAGGATTTTAAGTAATTATGTATGCCGCATAATTTGTTACAGCTTTATTACTTCCTCTTCTGCTTTGTTTCTCTTTCTTTCGCCCTTTTCTCGTCTCCAACTGCTTTCATTTATTCTACTTTCTTCTATTTTCTTTCCCTCTTTCTTTCTTTGTTCTCTGCCTTTTATTCTTTTCCTTCTCTTTTATTTATTTTCCTCTTTCTTGCTTACCTTCTTTCTTTCTTCCCTTCATCCATCTTTTCTTCTCCTTCCAGTGCCAGCTGCCTCTACTACGCCTCTAACTCACAATTATGCATACATTACAGTTGTTTTCTTTCTTTTCCGCTTTGTTTTTCTTTCTTTCGCCCTTTTCTTCATTGTCTCCAACTGCTTTCATTCATTCTACTTTCTTTCTCTTCCTTTCATTCTTTTAAGTCCTTCTATTCTTTTCCTTCTCTTTTATTTATTTTCATCTTTCTTGCTTGCCTTCTTTCTTTATTCCCTTAATCCATCCTTTATTCTCCTTTCACTGTCTCCTGCCTCTACTACTCTCATTTCATAATCAATATTTTATCATCTTTTATCATCTGAAACTTACTTTTATTAGAGGACTTGCACTCARACGATTAGCGATAAAACTAAGAACAATAAAAAACAAACGCCTATCTACTCTACACTAAGAATAGAAAATAAAATTCAAAAAAACACTCCATATTTATATACTTTAGGACAATATTGACACTCATAATGACTTCATGAGTGACTTGATGACGTCAAGAGTGACCCCATGACTAAGGGTAGCGATAGGCTTATTGATTGATAGCAGAAAAATAGGACTTCACCATATTTGTCATTGAAGAATTTTTAAAATTTGGTTTTGAGATTAGATTACCTATGCTACTTGGTTGAATGTTAGATTTACTTTACCTGGCTGTGAAACAAAGCTTGTAGATTTAGTGATTAACAGTCAAAGTAAAAGAAAAGAAAACAATAGAATGACTGTCTAATGCTCACACTTTTTTGCTCAAAAAGTAAAATCTTTCTAAATATACCATGTATAAGTTTTGGGCAGAGGCGGCAGAAGGAAATGAATAGTGAGGTGATGGGGGCTGAAAACTAATAATTTTCTTTTTGTCCTTTTCCTGTTGTTTGGAGCCGGGGTCGTAGAAGATGTGTSGAGATGGGCTTCCTGTGCCATCGTATTACATGTAGTTCTTGTCCATCTTCAAAGGATTCTAAGAAATCTAGCCATGCCCAGCATGGGTATCTAGCATATATTAACTCCTTCATTTAAGAGTATATTATTTAGACTCGTTTTGGTGTACTATGTATCCCGTTGCCTCGTTCCTATGCGGGTCTTGGGTTTTTGCATCGCTGCACTGTGAGTGGGTGATTTGATTAATGCGTGGAATTTCCAGGCGTCTGAGAGCTGTCGAACCTAACATGATAAATTATCATTTCAATAACTTGTAGTCAGGAATGGGAAAGGAATTCACCAAGCTGAAGAGGCTGAATGGTCTTTCACTTACTGGTATAAGACTATCTTTTTCATTGTCCTGTTCAACTTGTCCTAGTTCTTCTGGTGACAGCAGGCCAAACCGTATGTGATGAATGACTGGATGGGCTACTTCTGCCACTGYTTTCCCAGAAACAACCTGAAATATAAATGTGAACTTTTAAAGTATGTTTTGAAATTTTTATTATCTTTTGTGTCATATCTGCTTCACTTTCAGTTGTTTTGTCATTGTAATCAACCTTTTATCATGCATCCAAACAACATCACCATCATAAACATCACYATTATCATCACCATCATCACCACCATTATCATCCTCATCATGATCATCCACCACCATCATCATCACCACCATCATCATCATCACCACCATTATCATCCTCATCATCGTCATCCACCACCATCATCATCACCACCATTATCATCCTCATCATCGTCATCCACCACCATCATCATCACCACCATCACCATCATCACCACCATCATCATCATCACCACCATCATCATCACCACCATTATCATCATCACCACCATTATCATCCTCATCATCCACCACCATCATCATCACCACCATTATCATCCTCATCATCATCATCCCCACCATCACCATTATCATCACCATCATCACCACCATTATTATCCTCATCCTCATCATCATCATCATCCATCATCATCATCATCACCATCCCCATCATCGCGATGCTCTTCATAAATATCACCCACATTAAGATCATTGTCATTATTATCATCACAATCATGACCACAATCACAATCATTATCTCATCACCAATGCCATTGTCATCATGACTGTCATGTACCATCATCATTCTGATCCACAACAAAATCTTCTCAAACCCCACATTTTAAAACTAGTTCTCGTTCATTCTCTCTAGGTCTTACAGCATTAACAGTAGCCCATTCTCTAACAGCTCCAATGAGGTCTAGTTCATCCATTCTTAGCTTGTCACTCGCAAGCAGCAAGGTCAACGATTCTTCTGACAGCTCATGAAACCCTTTAGTTTTGAACACCTCCACTGTTTGTGCTTCAATGAATTCTATACACCTATCTTGTAGCTCTTCTTGATTGTATGTCACTGCAGTCTAGGAGAGAAATATAGGAGATATAAACCTTGTTTTTAGCGAGTTTGCATGTGTGTATGTGTATTTATGATGGAAGCTGTAGAAAAAGCTGTAGCCAAGTGTTTCTTGCTTTTTGGATTCTCTATCTTTTTCTAGATTCTATTTGATATTTTTTCTTAATTATGTGCGAGTGCGATTGCTGTCCCTTGATATACAGTATAAACATAAAATAGCAGCTAATAATTATAATAATGGGAGGTTATTATATAGCGCATTTATATACTGTTTCAACATGCTTTACATTTATGACCAGTGGAGGACTTTACAGGCTGCATATATTGAGGCACTATTAGCAGCCGTGCAGCTTACAATCATGAGTGATTTGTTACATTAGTATTAGGCCACCAGACAGGGATAGCAAGTGATTAATTAGCAACCATGACAACYRTCAATCAAATAACACCAATACCTGAAGAGCTTCTGCTGCTGTGTTTACAGATAAAGTTTCTCCTATATATTGTTCACATATCTAAAAATGTGAACACAGATTAAATCAAGTAATCAATAATATAAAAACCAAAAAACTATTCAGGGGTAAGAAATGCTATTCATCTCATGAAATCTCCTTTATTTCTCTACGTAAAATATGGTACAGGCAAGACGTTTTCAGGGTYCCCATGTGTGAAAATGCACCAACCCCATGCACATGAAGGCCCCAAGGGTGTGTTTGATTTATGGACTACAGTGTAAAGCCCACTTTTCAAATGGAATATCCTTTTGTTATCTGATAGTCTTTGTTCAGTTTTGGTATAAGTAWAGCTATTGATCATATACTGTATAACATGGTATTTTACCTTTTGTAATTGTTCTAGTCCATATTCAATTGCTGATCCCATGATATCCATCACCTTGAAAAATTACAGACAGCAAACAGRTTATTAAAAATAGGTGTCCCCAAACAGTATCAAGCTAAGATAAAATCAAAGATTTAATAGTAATCACTTACATTTTTGCTAGTAAGGGTACAAGTGTTAGTGTAGAGAAACTCAAGAATAGACATGAATACTTCAGGTGAGATATCGGCCAGTACAAGTGGAACGTCTGGTTCTACATTCTTTGTTCTTACATGTGTGCTTCTTTCATCACTGAGCATCGCTCTAAAAACATCACATCTTGAAGAGTGACATAAAGAGTTGGAATGGAATACAAGTGTCAGGTAATAATAGTACAGAAACAGGTTGAATTTTTCTTCTTCAATGGCAATGCAATTTTAAATTTTGTTGCAAAAAAATTATTTTAATGTTCATTATCTATGCATAATGGTGGACACATATATATTTAAAATGCTGCATTTCTTGTTGTTGCCAAGAGAGACAATGTTACTGATGTTGTTGTGGAACATGATATATGCTGCAAATTCCTCTTATTCCAACAATTCAATGAAACCAACCTCTWGAATGCATTGCAAGCAGAGAAAACGGAGCAATTWTAGAATACCCCACAAATGATAYGCAGTTGTTGGAACTCTTTGTAGAACAAGGCATATGACAATAGAAGTCATGGTCATTAAGTATGTGCAAATGATTTGCAGGGTATTCTATAAGTATACCAAGAAAACAATTGCAGTGTGTATCATTGTATGCAGCCTCATGGCAAGATGTGGGTTTCTCTGCTTCCCTCCAGTCAGGTGCAGCCACAAACCCTTCTCTGAAATCCTAACTTCTACCAATTAGTCATGSTCTGAAATTGTAGCTGGCTTGATTAGAGTGGAAGGAATGTCAAATATTTTGCGCTTGCTTTTATATTGTGCTTCTAAAATCACACCATATCACAGCTGATTCCAATGATTCTGAAGGRCTCTATAATTACCTTGCTGCCAGGATGCATTTATTTGCATAGATAACTCTCCTATTGGTTCCCACGATGAATTTCACATCGCTACAAGACAAAATAATAACATAACCTAATATATATAGYCGTCAGTTGTGCTTCTACAAACTTTGCAAAACTCGGTTTCAAAGAATCACTTCAGAGATACCTATACTCCTTCTTGTCGATCATTCTTCTCATATCATCTGCAAATGCCCAGGGACATCCTGGTATTGTCCTGTCTTCTGCCATAGTTTTAGCCAAGCTATAASTCATAAAAACGGACGATTCTAAGCTCAAGGATGCAAAAGTAAACTCAAAGAACGATTAACAYCAGGCGTCCCTGGCACTCGTTGCTACGGAAAGAAAACCTGGTACTAGTCATCTCCAGTCTTCTTATGTCAGTATTCCACAGGATAACCAACATTCAAGTTTTTTCCTCTCCTTATCGGCTACGTACTGATTTTCCATAACCTGCCGTATGCATAGATAATTTTTTTAAATGAAAACATGCGTACRCAGGCTGACTTCAAATYTTATGGATACCCTGAAATAGCCACTGGGTTGTTCAAAGTCATGGCACAGCTTTCTCATTTTGTACATTGAATTTGAGCTTTGCAGAGGGAGGAAAACCAGTCGACTGTGGTTTCTTGTGCAGCCTAGCGCTGTCATCAAAATCAAAGCTATATATACTTCCTCTAGAGGCTCTAATACAGTAAATAGAGGCTGTATGTAAAATACACAACAAAACATAACGAACACTAAATGGTGTTTTAATAAAACTCGTATATTTCTATCATGCATTTATATCATGCTAAGAAAGCATAAAAACATATTTGTTTCTTTTCGAATTTAAACTAATTTAGGTTTCTGCGACTCCGATATTTCAGTCCCAACGTGGTATAGACCCCTTGCAGCATGTTGGAATGCAGCTCAATCTGGAGGACAAAATAATAGGTTCCAATTCTCAGGAGATTGGAATTCTTTTGTTTTGTTTCCCAGATCCAGCTGCTTTGACATCACATGCAAGGGGTCTATAGCTCGGCAAATTGTACGATTCTGCGCGTGCTATTGAGAAGCACTGTAAAAACTGAGACGTCTGGAGGGTGTGRTAGTCGCAGAAAGACAAAWACAGCTGTGTGTCCGAATTTTATGTTTTCGTATTTTTCATATCAGGCGAAAACACTTTTACCCAGAGTACTATATACAACTACATGATGCAGTCCTTTTAAACATCTCTCTCTGCGAACGTCAAGTGGTCTATGGTGATGATCCACTCCAGTGATCTCGCAGAATGTTCGGTGCCGCAAATGCCTGGATCTTCAGATCGCAGCCCGCACTTTCAAGGCTGCATGGCCCCTGGTCATGGCACCACTGACAGGATCTCTCTACTTCTATCAAATCTCTTGGGTAAGCTATCTCTATATATGTACAGTTGGTATGATGTTGGTATGATGTCGTGATGATGTCAAGGTGGACTAGTTCTTGGCGGGTCTTGAGTATTTCAATTGTTGACACTAGTTTAGCCCTTTATCTGGACAAAGAGGAGCCTTGCGTCTGAATTCTGAACATTTTTGATGTTATACCAGTTTCCTAGAAAAATCGAGAAAGGAGAAGAAAAGTGTTAGCAAAACTAGATTCGTGTTATCAAATTATTGATGATGATGRTGGTGATGGTGACGATGACGATGATGAAAAGTAGAAAGGTAAGTGTGGTGGTGGTACTAGTGTTTGCGTTGATCGTAGAAATGATGGTGATAATGCAAGTGAAAATGGAGTTGATATTAATGATAATGGTAGTGATGATTGTGGTAAATGCTAGTGTTGGTGCTGATAATGATGATGTTGCAAGATAATAACTACGATAGAAATAGTGGGACTGAAATGATACGGACGATGATGATGAGGACGATGTTTCAAGTGGTGGTGACAGCGACAAGTTTCGTACCTGTTGGAACAAAGAATGTCGATCCAGTTCGTAATGACATCGTAGTTTCGTGTACCGTTACTTCCACTCGACCCCTCATAACGTGAAAAACCTTCAAGAGAAAAAAAAATTCCATTAAAAAAATCATTTCACAATTCGCCTTAAACTTGRCCATAGGTTTTTTAACCCGATTGGGAAAACATACCCAAGGGCATTTGGTCTGTAGAATTTCACTTGGTCTGAAATGGTGAATCTCTACGCCCAATTAAATATATCTATTGAAAATAACACTATAATAATGTGATCATACCATGGTATCATTTCTAACATGTTGTTTGCCCTTCTCGGCTCCAGGTCTCAGTACAATCTGGCCAGACCCAAAGAGATTATGTGACATAAACTTGTCCATGATGAGGGCATCTTCGGCTTTGGCAGGTTTTCCTGATGTATTTACGAATTTCAGCATTTCCTGTGTATGAACAAGGTCTGTCAAAGGAAAACAAGATTTAGTTAGGCCTGCCTCATTCGATGCGAATCGCGCATGCGCCCGGTTGCGCAGACGTACAAGTATTTTAGGAAACAGATTGGAAGTAGAGCTACACAGCGGCGGACTTTGCGAAGGCGGGTCTAAGAAAATTACTTACTGATCGATTGGAATCTGTCATGAATAAGAACTTTGCAATTAACTGGACTTACGTACAGATAATTCTAACTGCCAGAATAGATATCTATGCAATACGTAGAAATTTTATAATATTTTTCATCTTGGTTTTTATTACGACATTTTGATAATTTTTACCCATAGACTGCTCAGAATATTTAGAATACTAATATAGAACTTCATTATTATTATCAGTATTAATTTAGATATTTATCTTTTWTATATTATTATTCATTCTTTTATTTCTTTTTAGCTATACATTTTAAAATTTAATTATTAATTTATGTTGTGTCCTCAATTAGCTTTATAGCTAAATATTTTGACACGGTAATAAAGTTTATTATTATTATCATTATTATTATTATTATCTGGGTTAGGTTATTTGCTCTCCATTGTATTAAATCGTCTTACATCGTTTGCACAAACAGTTTTATATTCCTTTCCCCCAAACAGTATGCCCAGGTCCCGCGCTCCCAACTAGTTCCCAATCCCTGCTCTTTTCCGTTCCGAAGATATCGTTCGTTACTAACCTAGTTCAACTTGTTCCCCAGTGTCTGGGTTTACRACTGGTACTGCGGTATACGTTACTTCTTCCATATCTGCAGGTTCATCCTGTTCCAAGAACAATATTTAATTARCAGAAGTTGTTATACAAAAAGTTGTTTACAGCAATTTTAAAAAAAGTCGGGTTGAAAAGATTCTATCATCGAAACTAAGGGTGTTCTGGGTAAACAGACATACTTCACGAATAGGGGGCGTGGTCTTACATCGCACCTCATCCCCGGCGAATTTTTTCAAACTCAAAGAACCGTTTACTTACATAGAAGTCATTAGCTTCCTCTTCGTACGACTCCTTTCCAATAGCTTCTAGAGGGAAACAAAGCAGGATTGTTGTTATCTTCGTACCAAAGTCAAGGAAAATGATCACCGCTAAAATGGCGAGATCTATGATTGTATTGGCCTGTAGGTTGCGCGGAAAACTCGTAACTTGCGCTGAGTCATGGGCTGTTTTAGGGACCCCAAGATTCAGCGCACAACCTACTCGTTACCAGTTCCGCGCAACCTCGGGAAGGYCAATAAGATCAGACACCGTACCTCGTTTCTTCTCCTTTTTCGGTTTCTTTGGTTTTCGCTTGGGAACGCTTGGAGTYGGTACCTTTTCGATTCCGCTTACGAACCAGCCTAGAGAAATATATTGGAATATAATATTTGCGTCCAAATTTAATTCCCGTGAGCCAATACAGCATGAATTCTTTAATATAGCGACTGTATGACGTAATGAAAGGCAATGACGTCATATCAAACAGAAATGACGTCATAGATGATAAACAATCTAAAGGCAGTGTATAGACTCACCAGATTGTCTTCTTTCGTATTTTATCCTTTCGTTCTTCCAGTATTCCAGAGGAGGTACCTTAGTTCTCTTACTACGTCTAACACCGCTATCATCCTCTTYATCTATTAGTTTTCTCTTTGAGTTGTTGATCGTAATCTCCTGGGATTCATTCACGCTGCTGGTGTCAGAGATCGAGGTAAGAGAGGAGGAGGCAGAGGAAGAGAGGGAAGCAGAGCCAAGGACACCTGGGGTGAAGGTATTGTCTTCTGACGTGAAACCACTGTAGTTGGTAACGAAAGACAGCCTTGCTAGTTCACCAGGACTTTCCTCAGGTGTTGAGAAATCATCAGGTGTAATGCGAAATGATGGAGTGGGGGCGAAACTGACCGAGGACTTGCGTCGACGCCCAGGGTAGCTTGACTTCCCACCTTCATCATCACCATCATCATCATCTGCGCCGAAGGATGAGCCCTTTTCGTTTGGAGCAATACTTACTCTACGCTTTTTGGCATCAGCTGACTGGGTTCTTTGAACGCTTGATTTTAAAATAGACTTGACTGAGCCAGGCGGCAACACGTATGGACTACCATTAAAGACAACTGGCGTGCTTGGGTCTACAACATGCATCGATTCAATTCTTGTCTGGTTTGTTCTCTTTTTTGAGGATTTATTTATGGTTTTATCAACAGTTTGGCCACCTGCTATCGTACTATTTAGTCTGCTCTCATCTTCTTGAGAGCCATCGTCACCTTCATCAGCAGTTCCTTCCTGATCTGTGATATCACTTCCGGTAGTCTTATTTGTTCCACTGGATTTCCCTCGGCGAGAACGGCGAGCCATTGTTAATTTTTTTGTTCGCTTTCGCGGTGTTTTTTTCTTATTGACTCCATYTTTATCGCCGTCTGAACTGCTACTGGAAGATACGTTTTCCTTCATGTCTTTAGACTTTGTCTTCGCATTATTTGAAATTATTTTTGAATTGTTTTTATCGTCATCTTGGTTCTTATCGTCTTCCTTATCATCATCATGGTTATCATCATCATTATCATGATGTTCATCATCATCATCATGGTTTGAGTCACTACCCTGGTTGTTAAGCATTGCCCTCCAAGCAGCCCCTTTGTTCCCCGCTTTCCTTCCTTTAACTTTCTTGCTGGTTTTTGTAGGTTTTTTGCTAATCTCTTGTTGCGACTCTTGTTCATCATCACCATCAACATCATCATCATTGCCACCATTTTCTTCGACGTCAAAGCTATCTGCCTCTTGCACCTCCTCTCTTACAGTTTTAGATGCGTTGTCGCTCACTTGCGACTCGTTCCTTGTTGACGACCGCCCCTTACTTAACCGATCTTTCAGGGTATCGAAGCATCCATCTTCTCCTTGGGGGTCATGTAAGTCGGTGTCATTAGCTTCATATTCTGCATCRCMAAACACATGATCTTCCATTCCCAATGCAACACTTGTGTTTCCACCATCTACACCTTGAATCTCATCATTAGARACATCTTCTTCTACCACACSCATACTCGTGATTTCGTTYATATTTTTCTCACTCCTTGATTCCCCGGAGATGGCACTTTTATCTGAAGCCATGCTCTTGTTCATCTTGGACCGTGTAGACCGTCTTCCAGGTGTAGAAGTCTTTTTACCATTCTTCTTGTTGAAGGATTTATCATTAAGGCTAGTGTTTGTTATACTCGCATGGTTCGATKCATTCAACATCCTTGCTCTCCTGGTCATGATTCTTTCTTCGCCCTCCGGTTCAACAGCGTCTGCTGCATTCTTACTGTCTTGTTCTTTCTGGCTTGTCCTGGTAGATTTTC